ATGGACGACGAGATGATTGAAAATGAACACAACGGAGATCTAGTCCTATTGGCAGACATCCATTTAAAATGTAGGCAACGGCATGAAAAAAGTGGTTTCTACTTTTACTTTTATACTTTAAGTAAATGTACAAGCCTGTACTTTGTTACTTTTACTTAAGTAAAGAAGTTTAATCAGTACTTCCACTTGTACCAGAGTATTTTTTAACACAAGTATCTGTACTTTTACTTAAGTGCGGAAAGTGAGTACTTTTGCCATCTCTGTTTATCACACACTGATGGTGGCAAACTACATTGTGACCACAGCTGCCTTGGGCTGACTGACAGAAGCGAAGCTGATGTACACTGGTGCCACTGGGCCTTCTGACCACCAAGGACACAGCAATGAAAGCCGGGGCTTGAACTATCAACTATTTCATTAAAGGGCAAACTCCTACATTCCACGCCACTGTCGCATTGTTAGCACTGAGTCTACCTGCATGTAATCTACAGTGCTAATCTTACAATTTGGCTTAAAGAGAGGTAAAAAAAAAATAATAATAATAAATAATGTTTAACCAAATTATGAATCTCCTCTAACCAGTTTTTTACGATGATTCAGGGATGGCTGAAGGGGTTAAAGTCTTCCTCTTGAATTCTTTCCTATTTTAAACTTTATTTCATATTTCTTCCAAACCCATTAACCTTTTTTATCTCTCTTCAACACATTACTTTGGATTAAAGTTATTAAAAAGAATCTGAATCATGTCCAGAACCTTCTGTTTATCAGAGACTAATAAAACCTTTTATAAAGTGGATACCTTATCAGCGGATAAAAATCTCAAAGTTTTATCTCTTTGTTTTCCTCCATCTGAGGACTGTTAGTCTAGTCATGCACCCACCATTAAGCTTTGTAGCAATCCTGCACTGTTGTTTTTTCATCCAGCTCTGCCTTTTATCTTGAACAGAAATCCCTCTTTTTATTTTCTTAGGCTAATCTCTAACCAGGAGTGTTTGGGTAACAGGTGAGGGTAAGAATTACTGCCTGAAGGTTGTGCAAGAACATGGATTGTTTCCATGCTACACTCTATAGATATGCAGGCAAGTTTAAACACAGGATATGCAAGATATGCAAGTTAGTTGCCAAAGCGCTTCATCAAAAGATGTCTTCTTTACGTTTATCAATCTGTGTTATCGTTACTAAAAGGTATCTTTTAGCCACTTTATTCAGAATACTTGTCAAACAAATCTTTTTTGTACTAATTAATACCTGCTAAATGTTGCTTTTATTATTCCTGCTGCAAGAACAGCTTAAATGTTCCTCTTCAATGGCATCTGAGGTTAACTTCTTATCTGGTCTGTAATTACTGATATGTCGGTCTTATTTTTTTCTTTCAACATTTCTTTTGGCATCCAATGAAGACAACTGAGCAACAGCTCATAGATCTTCTAACACAGACGTCTGGTATGAGGATCATAACCTCCTGTAGTCTTTATATGACGTCCACGTGACCTGAGCGCCCAGACTACAGCTGCTGTTTCCTTGATGGATGGGATGCATGAACCCACCTGAACGTACAACTCTCTGAGCTCATCCTGGAACTTCTCTGGGTCTGTTGTGATTGTTACCGGTCCAATTTCTGCAAGGAAGCATCACAAAAAAGGTTATGTGATTGTTGGAACAGTATGGGGATGATTTTTGTGTTTTATTACATTGTGCAGATCTAAATACTGGTAATCAATCATGAGCAAATCAACCAACGAATTAATAAATGAATGAACCAATTAATAAATGTATTTCAGACAAACATTTCAGAACCAAAAAGAAAATATCCATTCTATGTTCACTGTATGTTCGGAGTAATAAGCTGTAGACATTTTTTTTTTATACAGTCTTTAAGGGGCCAGAATATTAACCCATGCAAACACTAACCAAACTGACAGCATTAGAGATGCTAATTACCGTAACTTACTTGAAGGAGCACTGGAGAAATCTGACTTAAGCAGCAGGAAACATCCAAACACCAAACAGACAAATTCAAACCCAAAACTATTTTTCTGCAGGGCAACAATTTCAAAACCTACATCCCTGTGCAGTCCTGATAGTGATCTTCTTCTAGTTTTTAGAAAACTGTATTATTACCTCAACAAAAAGTTATGATCTGCTCTTATTTCTACCTACTACTGTTTTCTTTGGTCTTTTATTTGTTAATGAGCTTCTAAGATCTCTCTCAAGGCAAGCTAGGTGACTTCAGCCTCTGCAGCTGTAATGAAGAATGAGACTGATGATGGTCTGCAAAAAAAAAAACAGCAGACGCACACAGAGCAGTTCTGCACATGCAAGCGGAGTGAAACACTGGAAAACAAGGGTTCCCTTGTTGAAAAGAGGGCAATAACCGAGGATCCCTGACTGTTGAGGAAGGATACAGTTTTTAAACAGCCTCCAAATCTGTCTGCAGGTAGCATGGGAAATCTGGCTGTTGGTCGAATGGTGCATTTGATGTTGGGCTATAATGTTTTGACGTTTTCCCTCTAATCATGCTTTCAAAGTAGAACTTTACAGGCAACATAAACAGCGAGGAGTCTGTAGGGACTGCTGGGTTCTAACATTTATTCTTGAAAAGCGCTCCTCAGATTGTGAAATAGACAAGAAATATGCATGCACCCAAATATGTCAATTATGGATATTGCTTGGAAGTATTGAGGTGCTGTAGAAAATTTTTTGTGGCAATCAGAACTGCTTTTAAACGCTAGCAGAGCAATGAGCCTGGCTGCTCTGAACAAAACATGGATTTGGAGCCAAACCTTTTTGGAGATGGAAAAGTTGAGAGCTCATTCATTCAGGGAGAGGTTCCCATGGTTGTTCTAATGATTCTTTAGACTGTTTTGGCTTTAACGCCCCAAACCACAGCCTCTCTCTTCAGCACCACCAGTGTGGAAAACCCGGTAAAAATCCATGACCTCAACACAGCATGAGCTGAAATAAATCTCTTTAAACTCTCCCGAGGTAATAACCTTCAACTCTGACATACGAAGACAATTGAGGCTTGACATTTTTACTGCTTGTCTACATTCTTTTGTTTGAGACAGCATTTATAAGCTTTCCAAATAACACCACACCAAACAGCGACAAATGTTCACAAATATGAAGCTCTCTCAGCAAACATCACGATGATAAGGAAGACCTCAGACATATGACAAGAAGAAGTTAAATTACCTGAATTCAATATCATAACTCTTATATTTAAACTATTCCATAATTATTTAACCTTTTCATAACATGAGGACCCAAATTTGGGTCCTCAGCACTCGCCCCAAGATGGTTTTTAGACCTGTAACATATTCTCTGGGGTCTTGCCTTTATTTTGATACCAAAACAATTAAAATAAACTTTGTAGTTCTTGAGATATATTCAATTTGAAAACAGGCCTAGTGTCCAAGAGGTTAAAGTTTATGATACCCTGCATAAATCTCATTGTATTTCTATTCAACATCATTTTATAACTGTAAAGAAGGAGAAAAAATTATAAATAAAAAATGAGGAAAGCGTGGTGTTGTTTTAATTAGCATCCCACAGTTGAGACTGAATACAAAAAATAATAACAAGTAATAACAAGTAAAGCTTCAAGACTTTTCGTTTATGTCTCAATGGCATTACTTTAAAAAGTAATGTGCACCCTTCTGCACATCAGATAACTGATAATCGGAGGATGCTTTATTCAGACCATTATTTACAGTTCTTTTTGTTAAATTCCTTTATTTCAAGATTAAGTCAATTCAAAGTTTGAATTTACACTCGTTTAAAGTTTTTACATAAAGAATCCTTGACTGCTGTTTGCTGGCATGTTTAAACACTGTTCTGTGTTTACTTCATTATATTTTTAACATTAGTTTTGTCAAACACGGGGCAAAAAATACACCAAAAGTTCTGGAGGAAATCTAAACCCAAGTTCAGTGGTTTTAAGTTTTCACAGTTTTGGACAAACTTTCTTTCTGAATGTGAACTTAGGGAACTCAGGTTATCCCCGAGCTAGCTCTATAGTTATGCTGCTATAGGCTTAGACTGCTGGAGGACAAAGGGACCCCTATTTTATCATTCTGCTTCATTCTATCTCTATTGTTTCTGTTAACTCCATTGCCCTTGTTGGGAAACTTAGGAAGACATTTTTTTCTAATCCTAACTTTTTCTTTTTGTGGACTTCTCAATTAAATAAACAGATTTTCCACATTTCTGCTAAATGCTATCCTTTCCCTTATCCTTGCCCTTAACAGACCTATTAACTTTAATCTCAATGAAATAAATTTAAGAGCCATTTTAAACAGATCAAATTGAAAAAATCAAAGGGGTGTTACTTTATTCCAGAGGTATCAACATGAATAAAAAAGAACCCCCCGTATTTTTAGAATTAAAAGCAGGATTGTAATTTAGTAAATTATATGCACTTAGGTTAATTTTGGCAGCTTTGTATTTTATAGCTCCCTGTAAGAAGAGGATGAATGTCTTCAGCAAGTTAGAATGGTTGACATTGGTAACAAATGAACTAAACATGAAAGAATGTCTGACAAAACAACAACAAAAACATAAAGTGATGATCACAACTAAAACAAAATCAAGTCCTGCGTTACATCCTGTTTTCTTAATCTGGCTGTGGAGCTAGCTGTTGATACAAGAGAAGAAGACATAAACAGTCAAAAGCGACCTCATCTATCACAAGGGCATTATGAACTATTTATTTGTAATCTCTGTAAGCATTCGTCTACAAATAAGCATGCACGCCTAAATACTAACAGAACATCTAAATGAGTCGGGCAACTTTCCAATGGACAAGTTTGCTTCACCTCCTCCTGCATGCAGGCTTGAAGTGATTTCAATTAGTCCAACATTTACTGAACAGCAGCCGGCACAACATCAGGGGTAAGGAATTCCAAGGCCAAACCGTTGGATCTCTCCTCCTAGCAGATACAGATTTAGCCAGAATATATATGTTGTATTTACTGTCACAGTGGTGCAGTTTAAAGCACTTTTGAAGGGCCTTTATATTACAACTATACGGGATATTTACAGGAGACTGCTAATAAGGGAGGACAGCGGGAAAAAGGGGTAAAAATATTAGGGATGCACGATATTGGGATTTTGGCTGATATCCGATATGCCGATATTTTAAAACT